TACTCCAAATTTCAATGGAATTTCTGTTTTCCTTTCTGTGGTCTATTTCGTAATATTAATATGGCCTGGTTAACTCAGTCGGTAGAGCATCAGACCTTTAATCTGAGGGTCAAGGGTTCGAGTCCCTTATCGGGGGTGTGAATTTTTACCTTTGCTACGTATTTTACTTAAAATTTCATTGGAATTCCTGTTTTCCTTTCTGTGGTCTATTTCTTCATATTAATATGGCCTGGTTAGCTCAGTCAGTAGAGCATCAGACTTTTAATCTGAAGGTCAAGGGTTCGAATCCCTTATCTTGCGGTGTATTTTTTTATACTTTTGTTACATTTATTATTTCCCAATTACATTGGAATTCCTGGTTTCCTTTATATCCTGTATTTCATATCAAAATGGCCTGGTTAGCTCAGCTGGTAGAGCATCAAGCAGATAACGACTAGTTTTGGAACTAGCTTGGACTGCGTCGGTGTTTTTTAGTTGAAATAAATGTGTCGTAGTAGATAATTTTATCACCGTAGGTACGAAGATAATAGACTGACGTTTCTGACGTTAGTCCTTCGTCGGAGCCAATGAGAGAAAGAGAATGATGGAGGGGTTTATATAGTGGTGTAGGAAGAAAACAAACCAATAAGAAAATAGCAAGTCGTAAAACAAAAGACAATAAAAGGATCGAAAATAATAATGGTAGATGAGAAGTGGCTAATTAATAAAGGTGAAGCGTTCGTTCATCCCGTGCGAATTAACTGTGCCAAGCGAATGAATCAAGCGCATTTCTTTTTCTTTTTTTGCGTGAATTATTGCTACCGTGTGTTAAGCAAAGACCAAAAACATTAGCATTAGTTTCCGAGTGGTTCACAGAATTGAAATGTCGAGAAACTGGTTTAGAGACATCTTTCCTTCGAATATCGTAAAGGTGGTCTCTGAAACGATCATCTAATCTTCGTCCAGTAGAACATCAGACTTTTAATCTGAGGTTCAAGGGTTCCAGTCCCTTTTCGGGCGGTGTACTCCAATTTTCATTGTAATTCCGCTTGTCCTTTCTTCCTTGGAATTCATATTAACAGGGCCTGGTTAGCTCAGTCGGTAGGGCGTCAGACTTTTAATCTGAGTTCAAGGGTTCGAGTCCATTATCGGGCGGTATAATTTTTGTATTTTTGTTACATCTTAGTTCCCAATTTTCATCTGAATTCCTCGCTTCCTTTCTATCGTGTATTCCAAATCAAAATGGCATGGTTAGCCCAGCCGGTAGAGCATGCGGATACGGGATGCGTCATCAACACGTGCCCGGAAATTTTTTTATCCGTATCCGGAAATTTTCGAAAACGGTCTCCAGAGTGGAAATTTTCGAATACGCTCCGAAAACGGATACGTGTGGACGGTCGTATCCGCAAATTTTCGAATACGATGACGTAAACACGATTTTGCGCATGCTCAATAAGAAAAACTATCCGTCAAAGGGACTAGGCACTAGCGTGCATCAGGGCGGATCTAGTAATTTCTGGATACGTGTGGAAAGTGAAAACGATTCGAATCCCCTGCGTGTGGACGCGAACATTTTCATTTCCGAAAAAAAAATTGCGGATACAAAAATTTCCGGATACGTGTGGATGGGGCCTTAATACATATTTTACTCCAAATTTCATTAGAATTCCGCTTGTCCTCTCTTCCTTTGCATTTGAATA